TTTTTTAAATTACATTTAAAGTCAATGTCCTCTCTGGCTAAAACCTGTTAGATTCTTAAGTGCCTCATCCCTATACCTATGAGTTTGCTAGTTTTTAAGTTTTATAAAATTTGCAACTTTGGCAACCCACTATGAAAAGGATTATAAATCCCCTCAAGCTATATCCTCTCCAATAATGCAGTTGCTCCATGTTTGCAACTGGTGAGTGGAAAACTCAAACCTAATTTAGTGTGTTTACTGAGCCCACACAGCCACACTTAGGCTGCTTGATTAAAATCCTTTAAGTAGTCAAGCTGCAAGCAAAAGCACTAACAAACTCTTACCCTGTGCTCTTTCCATTTGCTTGCTTTTGTCTGTCAGTTGGAGGACCCTCAGACCACCACTACCCACTTACCCACCTAGGTTTCTGACAATAACTTACCTACTGTTATTACCAGTGCAAGCAGAGGACTGAGGACAAATGGCCGCTGGAGTGATTCAAGACACCCCAAGAGAGGCACTTCATTATTGAGTCAGAATTTCACCTACTCCCTAGCCCCATCAGTAATTCTTACCACTGTCTCCCCCAGGCTACATGTGGCTTTCATAAGAGCAGAGACTAGAGAAGGAATTCCATTTGAGAACTTACCTTTTTCAGTTTTTCATCAGTGTGAGCCTCCTCAATCTTTAAGTTGCCTTGAGAGTGACCTCCCCCTTTACCTTCTTTCTATGGCAATCTCAGGAGAGCTCAGTGGGTATTTTTGGATGCTAGTTAGTTATGGGGAGGAGCATATAACTAACTAGCGTCCAGAAATACCTATTTAGCTCTCCTGGGACTGCCATAGCATGATTGCCCCACATAAATTATGCCAAGCAGGTCCTATGCTCTAAAATAACCAATTATCACAACTGCTTTTTTTCACATCTCTTTTACATTCAGGGGTACATGTGCAAGTTTGTAATATAAGTAAATTTTATGTTACCAGGGTTTGGTGTACAAAAAACAACCCCATAAAAAAGTGGGCAAAGGACATGAACAGACACTTTTCAAAAGAAAACATACATACGGCCAACAACTGCCTGTGGGGATAGTGATGACAGAGGGCAAAGGCTTCTCCAAGGCTGGCTCTGAGCTGACATGAGTTCTGCTGCTTGGTTTCTCACCAACCATACAAGAGAGGAGAAGAGTTGCAAAGTCTCCTACCAATTGAAGGGAAGAGAGCTACAGATTCAGCCTCAAGCTGTCCTTGAGCCTTCTTCCACCTGCTTTTTGCTATTCCTTTGTATTTTTCCATCTGTAATAGGTCTTTTTTAAGGTTCATCATGGGAAATTCTCCTTTTGGAGCCAGGTCCACATCAATGAGGTACAACTGAGCACAGATTTAATGCCATTCTTCATCAGGCAAGCACCCTCCAAAATACAGACAAATACCACATTTTTTGAAAAATCTCTTTAAAAAGAAACAATCCAGAAAAAAAAAACATGGAAATGCCAGGCTGAGGGGAAAAAAAGGCAAGTGCCTAAGGGAAACAGATTCTTCCTCTTGTCTTTTGTGGTTTCAAAGTACTTCAAACTAGGAATGGCCTTATTTGGGAATCTGTTATTTTGATGAAATTCCTGGGAATCAGACAACAAAAAGTTCTGCTATATCTATCTAGCCACATCTTGTGACTATTTAGTAGTGCTTACCATGTAGTAGGTGTTACAATTACTGAGTTAGGGTTTTTTTAAAGGGGTCAAGATGCTCAAACTCCTTTCTGTACCTGCTAGAAATGAGCCCAAATTCCTTAAATTCATTTCAAAATAATTTTCTCATGCAAATACCTCCTTATTTCTTTTTTATAAAACAAACAAGTAACAATTTATACTAGAACTATCTTTTAGACTTAAAAGATGAAAAAAAAAACTAGTTAAATGAAGTAATTAAATTCAAATGAAATAAAGTGAGAAATGATACTAGAGGGGGGTATTTGCATGCTCTGAGCAGGAGGCAGACCTGTTGGCAAAGAGAGAAGGTGGCTTTATCTGTGAATTCTCTTGGCATGACAAGACTCTTTCTAACTGATTCAGACTCTCTCTGCCAAAAAAAAAAACCTGCTAGCTTTCTGGCCAACTCATTCTCCTCAGTACCCTTTTTTTCTAGGACCAGGTCTAGCTTCCGGCAAAAGGCTAAAATACATGAAAATTTGTCTTTGGATCCCCTCAGCTGCAATGAGATGAGAGTTGAAACCATAGGTAACAATACTGAGGGATGAAAGCGAAGGACAAAACCTTAAACAGCAAACCATCATTGATTATCTCCTGAGACAGGCACTATGAATAGTCTCTTGGGGTACAAAGGTACACCTTGATTGAGTGAACAAAACTATGAAGGAAAGTCAGAGAAGGAACATTCAGAGAGGTAGGAGGAGACCTGTAGTCTTTCATATGGGAGAAAGAGGGTACATACTGCAAAAGGCCAATGGTGTCACACAAGTAGTTAATGTCTGAAGGCAGATCTTTGAATTTGGTAGCCAAGTAGGTAGTTCAAGAAACAATTTCAGTAATTTGGATGGGCTGGAAATTAAGTCTCAGGGGTGTCAGGAGAAAGTGGTGTTAACATCAAGACAGTAAAGATGTATTTTTTCAATAATACTGGAGGTGTCAGGGAGAGATGTAATGTGGTTAAGAAGGCAATAGGACCAAAAGGTGTAAGGAGTGCTTTTGTTTCATTTTTGTTTGTTAGTAAACAGAATACCCTGAGTATCATTCTAAGTGAATAAAATAGAACGATGAATTTCAAATTATAGCAAGCATTACAATAAATCGGAAGCCCACATGAGTCTCACTCCTCCACAAGTTGTCATCCCATACATCTGGGGTAGAGCCTAAGAATTGGCATTTCTAACAAGTTCCTAGGTGACTCTTTTGGTGCTAAAACAGGGCCCATACTTTGAGAGCCACTGGAATAGATTAATGGAGAAGGGAAAAATTAAAGCTGTAAAATAGATAGAGCTGGATTTTAGGAAGAGACAGGAATATAGAATTCATGGAATAAGTTGATCAAATCTTAGAAAGTATCATTTTCTGTGAGATGGAAACACACAGAAGAAATGTATAAAGGTGATAGAGCTTATATCAAATGGCTTCCATTTTCTCAGTAAAGAAAGAGACAAGATCATCTGCAGAGAGGATAGGACTGATAAGGATTAGGAACTGGGAAAAGTTTGAAATAAGCATCATTCACAGACATAGAGGAGAATCTACTTTGGGGTGATAGATAATGGGTTTAATTTTAGAAACGATGAGTTTGAAATGGTGGTGAACCTCCAAGGTAGATTTGGTCAGTAGGCAGTTGGCTTCAACAAACCCATGCTTTCTGCAACTTCCACTAGGATGTAAAGGATGTAGGATGCCCTTTATCCAGGTAAGTATTTTTGTCTGTTTTGTCTGTCTTGTTCACTGCTTCATTCCTAGCACCTAGAATAGTGCTTGGCATAGAATAAAGACTCAAATTTGCATTGGAATGAACCTAAGAGAGGTTGGCTAAGGTTGATAATTGCAGATAAAAGTAGTGTATAGTAGAAACCTGCAAGTATCTGTCTTCTAACTCTATGGAGTTAGAACATTATGTTCATTAAGCTACTGGGTTCTAGAATCTGAAGAATAGGGTTCTAATCCCAGCGTCTCTGTGCTTTAGTTTCTCCATCTCTGACATGGGAATGATGATCATACCAACATCAAGGTTACGGTGAGAATTAAATGAGATCATAAGTGTAATGTGATTTGCAAAGTGCCTCACATATGTTAGCTAGCTGTTTATCATCTGCATTTCCCCTTAAACTAATTAAGGAGTATTTCTCAACTGGTTAGAGTTACCATATGTAATTCAAAGGAGTAAAATTTCATTTCTTTGAAAACATACTCTATATCAGACTTCCCCACCTCTCTCCTTTGGTAGGAGTGTTGAGGCATAGCTGTTCTGAACATAGAAAAAAAATGATCAAAACGGGTGTTTTCACTTCATATATGTTATACCATCCAAAAGCCTTTCCTTAGTCAGAAGCATTTTTCCTTGTGTGCATTTTAAGGCCTGGCTTCAGACTAAGGCTTACTACTATTGAAAAGGAACAACTGCAGAAAACAAAAGAAATAAATGTAGAAAATCCTAGTTCCTATTTTCAAGGGATTAATATAAAAACATTGCCTGCCTTTGCCTGAGTTAATTATGTAGTACACTACTGACATTTATTTTATTAATTCAATACATGTGAGTGCTACACTGATATTATCACTAGAAAATATAGCTTACTATTTAAATTAATATGTATTCTGACAACTGTCTTACCCTTGTTATTGCCCAGGCAAAATTCCTTTATGTTTGTATATATTATATACAATAATCAACAACTTATTGTTTAAGCATCTACAGTTTCTTTAGTTTAGAATCTATTGCAGTGATTATAAAAATAGAAGATTGAGCCTCTGCCTTCAAGAAACCTGTTTTAATAGATAAACTCTCAAAAAAATTCAAGAATAACATAAGATAGCCAACACCTAAAAATTAAACTGCTGTGACCCTGTGTTGCATCTCCTGGTGGAGAGTGAAGCAGATATAAGAAGTATAGGATATTATGCATGCTCCACAAGAATTTTCAGTCAAGTGAGGGAGATAAGACATAAGAACATGAAAATTAAAATAAGAAAACAAGAGTTAAATAGTCATATGTCACAATGAAGTATAAATTGTGTTATGAGGTAGCAAAAACACACTATTAGGAAAAGAAAGCAGAGTTGGTTGCTCTAAGCCAATATGTCTCAGAGGACAAAAGGCCAGCACCGTTTCTTTAATCTACCATCAAGTTAAAGCACTTCAGCACCCACTGAATGAATACAACTACTTTTCTAACCTAAGCCCTGACAATTCAAATGGTTGTAATGATTTAGGACTTGATGCTTTTACCCAAAAAAAGTGTATTAAGTGACAAATAACTGATTAGAAGACTGTCTCTAAAAGTCATGTATGTTTTCTTTTTTTCAGAGAGCTGATATAGCTGTTGCTCCACTTACTATAACATTGGTCCGTGAAGAAGTCATAGATTTTTCAAAGCCATTCATGAGCCTGGGCATCTCCATCATGATAAAGAAGCCTCAGAAATCAAAACCAGGAGTATTCTCATTTCTGGATCCCTTGGCTTATGAAATCTGGATGTGCATTGTCTTCGCTTACATTGGAGTCAGTGTAGTTCTTTTCCTAGTCAGCAGATTCAGTCCTTATGAATGGCACTTGGAAGACAACAATGAAGAACCTCGTGACCCTCAGAGTCCTCCTGATCCTCCAAATGAATTTGGAATATTTAACAGTCTTTGGTTTTCCTTGGGTGCCTTTATGCAGCAAGGATGTGACATTTCTCCAAGGTTTGTTTTTTGTGGCATACTCAATGCCTCACTGCATTTTATGGCCATAGTCCATTCATGTACATATGGTATTCATCCATCTCAACTCCAGATTTCTTTCATTTAACATTCCATCAAATAACAAATTATCATCAAGCCATTTTGTTTGCTTATGTCCATGAAGTGTATGTCCATGAAGAGTATGTCATTGGTGTTGCTTTGAATGTCTTTCATGTATTTCTGTGGTATTGTATATACATTAAAACAAACGTTTGAACTCTGGATAAAGGCAACATTGCCACTAATATTAATATTATTCATATAAAGCAAATACTAAACCTTCATCAGATCAAACAGACATGGTTTCCTCATTAATCGTATTAAAGCATTTTCTCATTTGTCAAGAGATTGGATCCAGACAAAATTTAAAAGAACATAGAACTCTTCTTTAAACTCCTCCTACCTTCTCCTTTCAGTGCCCTCCCTTTTTCATTTTGCTCTCAGACTACCTACAACTATCCATTGTAGTATCCCACCCAAGTTTTCTAGTTAAAACTATAAAACTTCTCAAAGAAAACATAGGAGAATATCTGTTTGACCTTGGATTAGACAAAGAGCTCTTAGATAAAAGACAAAAAGCACAATCCATTAAAAATTTGATAAACTGGACTTCATCAAAATTAAAAACCCTGCATTTAAAAAGATATTAAGCAAATAAAAAAAACAGACTGGGAGAAAATATGAGTAAATCATATGTCTGATAAAGAACTTGTATCCAGAATATTTAACACCTCTTACAACTCAATAAAAAGAAGACAATCCAACTTTTTTAATGGACAAAATATTTGAATGGGCATTTCCCCAAAGAAGACATACAAATGGCTAATAAGTACAAGAAAAGATGCTCAACACTGTTAGCCATTAGGAAAATGCAAATTAAAACCAAAATGAGATGCCTCCGTGCATCCTCTAAAATGGCTACAGTCAAAAAGATAGGCAATACCAACTGCTGATGACAATGTAGAAGAACTGGAACTTTCATCCATTAATGGTGAGAATGCAAAATGCTACAGCCACATTGGAAAGTAGATTGTTTCTTATCAAATCAGATATATACTTAAAATATAACATAGACATCCTATTCTTATTTACCTAAGAGAAAGGAAAACATATTCACACAAAAAGTTATACACGAATGTTCATGGTAGCTTTATAATATTTAAAAAGTAAAAACCCAAATGTCCATCAACTCGTGAATAAACAAACTATGATATATCTATATAGTGGAATACTATTCAGCAATTAAAAAGAACAGACTACTGACACATCTACAACACAGATGAACCTTAAAATGTTATGCTGGCCCAGGCATGGTGGTTCATGCCCATAATCCCAGCACTTTGGGAGGCCGAGGCGAGTGGATCAAGAGGTCAGGAGTTTGAGACCAACCTGGCCAACATGGTGAAACCCCGTCTCTACTAAAAATACAAAAAAGTAGCTGGGCGTGGTGGGAGGCACCTGAAATCCCAGATACTCTGGAGGCTGAGGCAGGGAGAATCACTTGAACTTGGGAGGCAGAGGTTGCAGTGAGCTGAGATCATGCCATTGCACTCCAGCCTGGGCAACAAGAGCAAAACTCCATCTCAAAAAAAAAAAAAGTTATGCTAAGTAAAATAAGCCAGATGCAAAAGGCAATATGCCATGCCATTTGAATCCCATTTATTGTTGTATGATTCCATTTGTGTAGAACAGGCAATTTATAGAGACAGAAAGTATGTTAGTGGTTGCCAGGGGCTTGAAGGGAGCAGAAAGGGGATAATCAGGGCCAGTATTCGGGTGAGGCAAGTAAGGCTGAGTAGAGCAAGCACAGGGATCAGATCCAAGCTTTATTTAAAATTTTGAAATCATGCATTAACTTTTTAAATATTGGACTAAAATTCTATTTATCTTGATTTATGAGATTTTGATGCCCCTTTAAATTTTGCATGTGGGGCAATTGCCTCACTTGCCTCATCCTAGTCCTAGACCTGCCAGGATTAACTGCGAATGATCATTAAGGAACTTTTTAGGGTGATAAAAAATGCTCTAAAATTGGATTGTGATGGTAGTTGCATAACTCTATATTTACTAAAATCACTGATTGTACACTTATATTGGTGAATTTTATGGTATGCAAATTTTATCTAAGAAAAGCAAAATACTGAGCATGAATGTCCTGAGCCTCACAAACTTAGTTTAAATCTAAACAAATAGTGAGTTCTTTTTTTTTTTTTTTGAAAGCTTTTGGTAATACCTTTATTGATATATAATTTACATAACATATAATTAACCCACTTAAAGGGTACTATTTAGTGGTTTAGCATATTTACAGAGTTGTGCAAACATCATCACAATCAGTATTAGAACATTGTATCACCCCCAAAAGAAACCCCATACCCTTTAGCTATTGCTCTCTAATTCTCCCAAAACTCCCCGGGGCTAGGCAACCAATAATCTACTTACTGTCTCTATAGATTTGCCTGTTCTGAATTCTGGAATCATGCTATACAAGCATTTTGTGATGAGTTTCTTTTACATAGAATAATGTCTTCAAAGTTCATCCAAGCTGTAGCATACACCAGTGCTCCATTTCTTTGTATGGCCAAATAATATTCCATTATATGGATATACCACATTTATCTATCCATTCATCAGTTGAAGGACATCTGGGTGGTTTCCACTTAGGGCTATTATGAATAATGCTGCTATAAACATTTGTGTACAGGTTTTTGTGTGAAAATAAGTTTTTATTTCTCTTGGTTATATACCTAGGAGTGGAATACTGGGTCATATAGAAACTCTGTATCTAACCTTTTGAGAAACTGTCAGACTGTTTTCCAAAGTGGCTGCACCAGTTTACAGTCCCACCAACAATGTATGAGGGTTCCAGTTGCTTGACATACTCACCAGCTCTTGTCATACCTTTTTTTTATTATACCACTTTGTGGGTTTGAACTGGGATCTCATTGTGTTTTGATTTGATTTTCCCTGATGACTAATGATGTTGAGCATCTTGTCATGTGCTTATGGGCCATTTGTATGTCTTCTTTGGAAAAATGTCTATTCAGATCTTTCACCCATTTTGTTTTGCATAGAACGTTTATTCCAGTGAGGAAGACTGACATTCACAAATATATGTAATAATCTGCATATGTGCTATGAAGGTGAGGTACATTGTGCTCTTTGACCACAGAATACAGGAGAATTGATCTGATCAGGAGATGAAGGAGTCAGGGAAGGCTTCCCTCAGAAGGGATGGTTGAGCTAAAACTGGAAGGGAGAAAAGAAATGAACTAGGTGGTGCCCCTTTGGGTAGACAAGAAGATTCTGTGTGTGTGCAGAGGCCATGGGATATTTCCAGAATTGAAGATATGGAGCAGGAGCAGCTTCCCTCCTTTGCCTGGACTGTTTCCACTCCACCCGTAGCCTTCCTCATCCATGGGTACTTGCTTGGGGCTGGTGCTGCCATCCACCTCACTCTCCCAGTCATCAAGGGAGCATTTGGAAGCATGTGAAGCTGTTTTATTTTGCGGTGTTTTGTACACTAGCCAGAGGGCATTACTGCATTTATTGAGAGAGAAACAGGGATACTAAACATTTCTGCAGTGTGCAGGGATGGCTCTACATGCCAGTAGGGTCTCTGTTGAGAATCTACTCCCAGTTCTACCTTTTGTGTGTATGTGTGTAACATAAAATTTATAATCGTAACTATTTTTACATGTACAGTTCAGTGGTGTTAAATACATTCACAGTGCTGAGAAACCAGTCTTCAGAACTCTTTTCATCTTGTTTTGTTTTTGTTTTTGTTTTTGTTTTTTTGAGACAAAGTATCACTCTGTCCCCCATCTCAGCTCACTGCAGCCTTTGCCTCCTGGGTTCAAGCAATTCTCTCCCAGCCTCCTGAATAGCTGGGATTACAGGCCCCCTGCCACCACACCTGGCTAGTTTTTGTATTTTTAGTAGAGATAGGGTTTTGCCACATTGACCGGGCTGGTCTTGAACTCCTGGCCTCAAGTGATTCGTCCACTTTGGTCTCTCAAAGTGCTGGGATTACAGGCACAAGCCACTGCACCCAGCAGAACTCTTTTCATTTTGTAAAATTGAAACTCTATATCCATCGAACAGCAACTCATTACCCCCTCCTCCAGCTTCTGGCAGCCACCATTCTACTTTCTGTCTCCATGACTTTGACTCTTCTAAGTACTTAGATAAGTGGAATCTTATGGTATTTGTCACTCAAATGGTGAGTTCTTAATCCTAATATATTGTAGGTGAATGTAACATCTTTATATTTTGAAACGAAGTTGTAGGTTTTGTTAAACTGACCAGAGTCAATTATACAAACACTGACCAGAGTCAATTATGCAAACATATTAGAGAATTTCATGTGAAATATAAAAACTCAGAAGATTCCTACCATGTTTTTACAGCATACTTCATTTTCAGATTATTCACTTGCAGCATAAAACATTTAAAAAGAGACTTTGCAGCATAACTAATTGGTGACCATATTCAGCAACTTTTTAAAATAGTCTGTATGGGGCATGCCTCATTTACTGAAGTCACACTTGTTTCGTTTTCCTCAATCTGCTTGATTACATTCTCTAAATTACTTCACTTCCTGTTCCTTTTGTGTTAAAATGTGTGTCATTTCTTGCATCATCTGGGAGTTTGTTTCGTTAGTTTATGTTTTAAAATGTTCGCTTCAAGAGACTATGGTTTCTGAATGATCCTATAATTGAATGATTTTTAACATGGCTGGTAATCTCATGTTCAGACAATACTAAAGAGTCATTAAGGCTAGAGATTGTATTGGTTTCTGTACGTGAATTTCAGAACTAAGTTTGTGGTATCCCCACTGGAGTGCTCCATACTACTCTGCACACTCAAAAAGGACTCTTCTCATTTTTAGAAGTATTTATGCATATTGATTCATTAAGTAATAACTTAAAGATTATGGCCTGAAAATGACAAAGTTGAAC